GTATACCTTGTTTCTAATACAATAAATGCTTTGTCTTTATCTTACTAGAGAATTACATGTCACAGTTTAAAATGCTGTTTGGTGTAACAGGTGTTAAATTATGTAAAGGGAGTGCAGAAACTAACCCTTAGATTGGCCTGGAGTCTGTGATAAAACCTACAGTTTTGTTGAGGTAACATACTGCTCTGTTGGGTTATTCTCAAGTGGCTGTTTTTTTTTGGAGTTGGTAAGAACAATTTCAAATTGGATTTTGCTTGATGTATGAAGGATATCCTAATACTTTGTTATGATCATATGAAGAAAAAATGAAAGCTAACTAGGGCCCACTTTTTTTATTTAATCCCATATTCTATTTATGTGACTGCTGCTTCTGAAAAGAGTTTTAAGAGCCTTCATTTTTAGAAGAATTGATAAACCTGCTGCAATACGTATCTTCTTATAAATGAAACATTGTGGGTTACCTAAATAAAACAGTTTCTACCATACCCTTGAAGTCACAGACAGTAAAGGCTCCTGGTTCAGTCCCATGACTCCATGGGATATGCAGAAACCTGAATTTTGTACAAAGTGGCCAGTAATGGTACAAACAACAGTTTATATTTAAACTGATGGAAGCTGAACATTATTATCCTTAAGGATTACAAACTGGTAATCAATAGTAGGAATGGGAAAATGGTGGCCATCAGATACATTTCAACTATGAGGACAGAAAATTTATATCCACTTCTACCAAAAATTTAAATACTTTGTTATAGCAATTTGTTACCACTAGGAGCCTGGAGAAAATATCCTTGACTTTATGTGAAAGTGCATATTGCTCACTCCAACTAGTCTTACAAGTTATCTTCTAAGTTATCTTGTGAGTTATATAACTCACATAAGGTGACTAAGTCATGCAACAGTTACAGGTGTCAATACAAGTTCACATTTTCCAATACAACTATTTTTCTCACCCCTCAAAAATCCTTACATTCCACAATTTGTCAGACCATCAACTGCAAGCTTAATATTGCACCACAATCTGCTGAACTTGTTCTGTTTGCATCATGTCTTCCACTAGACTAGGCTTTTGTGTCTAGGGTGAATTTGAACATGTCAGAAATAGAGGAATTACCCATTCTGGATTTGCATATTAAAGCATAGTTAACTCAAAATCTAATTGTTGGTGGCCTTAAACCAATTTTTCTATTTTCTTCAGGGGTCCACTTCTTAAAAGGTCCACTTAAATGTCAAGAAAATATGTAGTTGTGTCAAAACTTCTTGAGACCTAAATTCCTTTCCATGAAAAGCAAATCTTAAACCACATATTTGGAGTGTATATAGATATTCAAATAAAGGAATGTCTATTAAACTTTTAAAAATGAGTTAAAATAACCATAACTACTATAAACTGTTACTGGACACACACTATAAAAATTGTAAAATATTACATAAATAACCTAAAAGGTGAGGGGAAGTATAATTTTGAAATACTATCAAAGTAAAGCTGTTATCAGTTTAAAATAGGGTGTTACACAACTCAAAATTAAAAAAAAAAAACCACAAAGCAAACAACCCATTCAAAAAATGGGCAGAACTACTAAAAAGACACTTCTCCAAAGAAGAAATGCAAATGGCCAACATTTCATACATTTGCATTGTGCGAAAATAAAAATGTAAGAAAATTTAAAAAGTGCATGTCAACATCACTTATAATCAGGGAAATGCAAATCAAAACTACAACGAGATACCACCTCACACCAGTGAGAATAGCCCATATTTAAAAAACCGGCAATAACAAATGAAGGCTAGGATATGGAGAAAAAGGAATTCTCTTACACTGCTGGTGGGAGTGCAAACTGGTCCAACCACTATGGAGAGCTGTGTGGAGACTCCTCAAATTACTAAAAATGGATCTATCGTATGACCCAGTGATTCCACTCGTAGGAATTTACCCAAAGGACATAAAAACATTAATTCAAAAGGAAACCTCCGCCCCTATATTTATTGCAACACTATTTACAATAGCTAAATATGAAAACAACCTAAATGCCCAAAACAGATAAACAGATCAAGACCATGTGGTATCTATACACAAGGGAATATTATTCAGCATTGAAAAAAGATAAACTCATGTCATTCATCCCATTGTAGCAATGTGGAACTAGAAGGGATTATGCTTACTGAAATAAGTCAGAAGACAATTATTGGATGGTTTCAATCCAATGATTGTCAAAGAGTCAAAACAGAAAAAGAAAATTTGTAGATAAACTATATATTTGAGGCTTCCAGCAGGGGAGGGGGAAGGAGAGGGGCCAAAATAGGGGAGGGAAGGTTTACAGGTAATGTGGTAGTGGGAGAACACATGAGTGGAGAACTTTTGTATGAAAATAAAAATAATGTAAGAAAATTTAAAAAATACATGTCAAAAAATAAAATTGGGTGTTATATTTTTTTTTTACTTGAACAACAAACATTTCTTACTACCCTGAAGAATGGGAAATCTGAGATATGCTGCCAACATGGTCAGGCTCTGGTAGGATCCTCTTAATGCTTTCCTCAGATAGTTGATAAAGGACTTGGCCATCTTCACTGCCTTATAAGGAAGCCAACTAAAATTAGGGTGTTTACATATTTTATCATAGAACAGGTTAAAGGATAAAGAATTCAAACACACACAGCAAGAAAAAAAAATGAGTCTAGAAAACAATGAGCAAAATGTCAGTAGTTATTACCTATCAATATATTAGTAGATACTACCTATCCACATTACCTTGAATATAAATGGATCAAATTCTCCAGTCAAAAGAGGTAGAATGGCTGAATTGACAAAAGGAAAAAAAAAACAACAACAAAAAACACCAAGATCTAACAATATGTTGCCTACAAGAGACTTACTTTGGCTTTTAAGATACACATAGGCAGAAAGAGAAGGAGTATAAAAGTTATCTCAAGCAAATAGCAAGGACAAGTATAATTATTAATATATCAAAATAGACATGTCACTAAAAATTAAAATGACACAAATGATAAAGGGGTCAATTCACCAAGATACAATAATTATAAATAGTATACACCCAATTTTGTGGCAACCAAATATACATAGCAAAAAACAGATAAAAGGAGATACAGATAATATAATAGTTTAATAACACACTTTCAACCATGGATAGATCATGCAGATAATCAAAATGGAAACAGTATTTGATCAACACTATGGACAAAGTGAACCTAACAGACACAGAACCATCTAGCCAATAAAAGCAGAATACATATTCTTCTCAAGTGCACATAGTACATTTTCTGGGATGAACCATGTTAAACCACAAAGCAATTCTTAGCATATTCAGGAGGACTGAAATCATACCATGTATCTTCTCTGGCCACAATGGCATAAAACCAGAAGTTAATATTAGGAAGAAGACTAAAAATTTGAATACATGGAGATTCAATGACACTCCTGAACAACCAAAGCATCAAAGAAGAAATTAAAGGGTAAAGTAAAAAGTATCTTAAGGCAAATGTAAATGCAAGCAATATACCAAAAATTATGAGATGCAGCAAAAAGAATTCTCAGAGGAAAATTCATAGCACAGAAAGAAGAGAGGGGAAAAGATGCTCTTACTACTGACAGCAGGAGGGCAAGAAAGGCAGTCATAACTTTTTATAAACTGCAGTATTCTTAGGGATTAGCGACCCTAGACTAATTTTACAGGTGAGCTGAGTTCCAGAGCAGCTGAGTGGCTTGGCCAAAGCCAGTTAGGGCCATCGCTGGGTCTGACATGTTGCTTCCAAACCCAAGCCTCACCTACTTTTCCCAACTTCCTCTGGGCGAGGATGTGTCATTGGCAAGGACTATGACCAGAGACGCAGAGCAGGGCAGTGTATAATCACTGAAAAACTGAAAGTAGATAATAGCCAGGGAGACGAGGACATAGGAGGTTATGCCGATATAACCATTTCAGCCCATCTCAAGATAAAGCCATGAAGATGCTCGGGAGTGAAGCCACTCTTAGAGGGCAAGAGTAATAAATATCCAAAATCTGGGAGGATTGGGCCTTCTCAGATATACTTGAAGACATTCAGAAGCTCATTTGGAAAGGCGGGGTCCAGAGGAGAGTGGCCCAGGGGGTACTGCTTAATTTGAACCATCAACTTACCTTCTAGTTTGTTCAGCTTTATTCACCAGGAAGGGTTTGGAATTAAAAACCTAAGTTGGGGCCTATTGGGTGGGAATAAGGACCATTTCTAGAGCATACTAGGCTTACTATTCAAGAAAAAAAGGAAGTAACTTTAAGTGAGGACAGTAGCAGGTCCTTCTAACAGGCAACCTTCTGACTCCTGGGCTTTTGATTCCTGAGAGCGAGAGGGATAGTGATATTAACTGAAACTAAGAACCCTTCAGCAGTTAAGTCAGAAGGAGAGAATGTGAAACAGTTGAAAATGCCCTCGTCACAGTATTTCCTCCTAGTTTAGCAAAGGGGAGAATGCAGCCATCCCAAGAACTTCTACTACCAACTGGAGTAATTTCAGTTGATCTAACAGTTTACAGATCAAGCTAACATTTATTTGAGCAAAGATTTTGAACTTAAAAAAATTTGAGAACAAGGTATCTATCATCCCCACTGGATTTAGGTTCTAGTTTTTCAGTGCTCTTTGACTAAAAATACAAAAACAGGGACTAGACTTGCTTCACCTGTGACTGGCCCAGAAGCAGGAATGTCTGCTACTCAGAACCAAGAACTTTCTGGGTTCCATCTGCAAATACTCTGATCCAAGAGAAAAGATGGGGTCTAGGAACTCGTCTATTTTTAAATTCTTCAGGTAAGTCTGGTGTAGAGTACGAGTTGGAAACCATTTTTGTCCTCAACAGTTTTGAATAAATTTTGAATGTAGATAATAGTACAAGTCAGTTAACTTCCCCTTTGAGTTGCAGATTTTAAAGTATTAATACATTTTAAAAATACATTCCAAAAAGTAGGGGGTGAGGGGGAAGGGATAGGTGAAGAGAAATGAGGTACCTTGTTTTCCACACCAGTCTTGATAGTTCTCCAAATAATCAGGTACATGTCCTTCTCCCACCAAGTGCTCATGATATGCAGCTTTTAGGGCTCTGACACCCCCTGCTCCCCTAAGCTACTAAGTAGAGTGCAGGAGTTCATTTAGTACTTTGCCCTTTCTGTTTTTTTCTGCAGCCTAAACCACAGCTCCAGCAGCAAGCTGCCATGGCATCTTGCCTGTGACTGGCCGGTTCTGCCTGGCTTTTATGTTTTACTCAGGTGATTCAGAAAATCAGTCCTGTTTGTAAAGTGCTCCTTCAGCACTATTCAACAGCCTATCTCAGCTCTTCTCAACAGTCTCGTGTCCCTTCCAGGTGAAGCTACTACAGAAGATCAGCCCTATTCCTTTGGAAGACTTTGAAAGTAACGCACAAAACAAAACACGACTCTCACAGATTGAAACACATTTCTGCATACTGTGGTTCAGAAAATGGTGCAAACATCTAAGTCCTGAATAAACGCATCAGTGAAAATCTATTTCTCCATACATTAAAAAGGGGGTGGGGGGAATAAGACCTTATAGGTAGGTTTGTGAGTAATTTGAGTTCTCAGATTTCCTATGCAGGGTCCCTGCACCTGTAATAACGTGAACTTAATTCAAATTAGTTGAAAATGCCATGTTTAAATTTCAGTGAATAGTGCTAATCTAAATGTATTTGTAACTAGAAATGCTATAAAGATGGCAATTTCTGAGTACAAAATATTGCTTAAAAATAAAACAAGCAAATGCTATCATGTATTAATTTAAATTTTTCTCAGCCAGCAGTAACTTCTGAAAATACCTTTTGAGAAACATTCCACACCTTTTTGAGCCAAGTGAAACTTCTGACTTGAAAGACTTCAAGTCAGAAAGACTTGTGTTCTCGGAGGCTTGAAAGACTTGTGTTCTCGGAGTCTTGATATATCTAAACAAACATTCCTTTTCCAGTTTCTAGGCATGTGGAAGAAAAGATAGATTTAGCAGCAAATACACAATTTGATTCTCTTAATTGAAATAGCTATGGAATTCACAAAGAGAAGAAAAAGTGCAAGGATATTATTTTTATTTCATACTAGATAAAAGATCTTTTGAGCCTCTCTGAGTGGTAGGAAAATTATGATAGAATTTTGTGCAAGCTATAAAGATATATAATAATCAAACCCTGGAAATAGGACTTGGATCCACGCAGAGAACTTTCCTTTAGTTTCTGGCCCTTCCCTGCTCCTTTCCTCGCCTCTCTGCAGGAGTGAGTCATTTCATTGATGAGACCATAAAAGGAGTCTGATGTGCCTAAGACAACCCCTTCCTCTTTGTATTTTTGGCCTTGCTTGTCTGCAGGAAAGTCCACTCTCTTTGCTCTTTGCCATGGGGCAAGAAGTCTGCTTTCATGAGAAGCCTGCCGTTGCCTAGCTGTGCCAAGGTTTGAAAATGTAGGCGTAACTCACATAAGAGATAGTAATAAGCCCACTTGGCTATAGAGTTAAAGTCACGCTGTCCATTTGGCCTTATTAGCTAATAAAGGTGATTTTTAATGTTCATTTAAAAAATCCTATGTATCTCTCACTTCCTCCCAAACTCTGAAGAGAAATAAAGGGAGTGTTATTCACTAGCCCTGATACACCAGCAGAGAATTTCAGATTTTCCTCCAATTTTCCAATAAATTATCTTTAGCTTAAGTTAGTTTCTATTGCTTGCAATCAACAAAAAAAACTAAAATATCACTCGATGGTGGGTGTGGTAACATACATCTGAAGGGTGTGATCCTACACCTCTAAATCATTTACAGTGTCATAAATTAATGTTACCTCAATAAAAAAATTAGTTTCACACACTAGGTAAACTTAAAAAAATAAATATTTAACTGAAGCAAATCTTTATAATAAAATTAGCATTAAATTTAGGAGTACATGTTATAGAATAATACTTAGGTGCATTTGAAAGCAAAGAATACCTTAATTTTAATTAAGGAAGAGCTCTTTTTAAAATTTATTTTTAATTGAGATCGTATTTGGAAAGAGTAAGAGTCATATAAAGACAAACTTAACCCTTGAAAGCTGAGTTCTTAGGTTGCTAGTGATACCACTAAAATACCCTGGAGTCCCTGTCCTATGTAAATCATACTGTTAATAACAAAACTCAATTTTTTATCCCATTCTCATAAATCCTATTATGACTTAACTCACATGCCAGGCTTTTCCAGAATCATAGGTATTTTTGTTCACTATGTATTGTGGTCTATTTCTAATTAATAATAATTAAGACATATTAATAAGCCCACTCGGCTACAGATTTAAAATCACATTGTCCATTTGGCCTTATTAAGCTAATAAAGGTGATTTTTTTAATGTTCATTTAATAAATCCTATATATCTCTCACTTGCTCCCAAACTCTGAAGAGAAATAAAGGGAGTGTTATTCACTAGCCCTGATACACCAGCAGAGAATTTCAGATTTTCCTCCAATTTTCCAATAAATTATCTTTAGCCTAAGTTAGTTTCTATTGCTTGCAACCAACAAAAGAAAATTAAAATATCACTCGATGGTGGGTGTGGTAGCATACATCTGAAGGGTGTGATCCTATACCTCTAAATCATTTACAGTGTCATAAATTAATGTTACCGCAATAAAAAATTAGTTTCACACACTAGGTAAACTTACAAAATAGATATTTAACTGAAACAAAGCTTTATAACAAAATTAGCATTAAATTTAGGAGTATATGTTATAGAATAATATTTAGGTGCATTTGAAAGGAAAGAATACCTTAATTTTAATTAAGGAAGCGCTCTTTTTAAAATTTATTTATTTTTTTTAATTTTTTTTTTAATAGAGGCATGTTTATTTATTTATTTGTTTGTTTGTTCTGTTTACACATGCACTGGGTACAGTCAGAAGCACGGGAGGGTGAGAGAATTCACCAGAGCCAGAGCGGGGAGCAGAGCAGGCAGAAGGACCGAAGTACACTGCTGAGGGGAGCAGCGGGCGGCAGGAGAGGTCTGCGCGCCATGTGGGACCCTCCTCCGGTGGCCGGGGAGCAGCCGGGGATCGAACCGGCGCCACAGAGGCCGCGGGCAGCTTCGCAACCCAGCGCTCAACCGCTGCGCCACCGGGGAGGCCCTTAAAATTTATTTATTTTTAATTGAGATCGTATTTGGAAAGAGTAACTAAGAGTCATATAAAGACAAACTTAACCCTTGAAAGCTGAGTTCTTAAGTTGCTAGTGATACCACTAAAATACCCTGGAGTCCATGTCCCATGTAAATTATACTGTTAATAACAAAACTCAATTTTTTATCCCATTCTCATAAATCCTATTATGACTTAACTGGCATGCCAGGATTTTCCAGAATCGTAGGTAGTTTTGTTCTATGTTTTGTGGTCTATTTCATGTTGATTGCAAGACAGATGTAATGATCACTAAACTAGAAAGATGCATGATTAAGATTTCTGAAAGTGGGTTAATAATACCTGTTGCCTGTAGTATTTTTTACATATACTTTTTCTTACCCAAAAGAAATAGTATCAAATTATTCCTTGCTCTAATAAATCATTATTTCAAGCTACTTTTCAAGAACCAAGTAATTTTCATGTCATTCTAAAGTGTATGCTAACAAAATGTATTATATTAGATAAGATTTAGCACTGTTGGAAATAAAGTAATCTCTCAAAACAGAGTTAGTATCTTTATGCCTGAAATGAGCAAAAGCATAAGCATGTTGCAGGTGTTTCTTTGGCCTTTTCTTTTTGTATAATTTGTGACAAATTTTTAATCATTAAGCTTTCTTAAAATGCTGAGATGGATGTTGGCTCTCTTACTAGGAGTGATGAAGTTCTATCATGTGTAAAGTATTGCTTGCTGTTGGCTGCAAAACAGGTGTCAGAAATAAAGTGGGAAAGAGTTGTAAGGACACCCCGGTATGTGATTACAGAATAAATTTGGAAAAGAGTTTTGAGACATGTTATATACAGAACCTATCCAGTTCACTTTTTCAAAAGCAAAGAATGTTAAATTGCTGGTTACCCTTGTCGATTTTGGAGATGCTAGGCAGATCCCATTTATTTTACCCCCTCCCAAATCATCTTCGCCCACTTGCTGATTTCTGGAATTCCACCAGACATCTTATTATGTCAGCTCTTTGACTTGACAGTGTGTCAGTCATTAAAACATAAATGCCACTTAGCTCTGAGATTCATAATGGTTAGGAATTTGGCATATTTTAATCAAGCTCAATCACATGCCAGGCTCTAGAAACATCTGCTGCAGAGACTTTGGTTACAATAGTGCATGACACGGTACTGATCATTTTATAAAAGATCTCTGAAAGAAGACACTCCTCCAGCATTCTGCTTGAGAGAGAGAAAGCTTCAGGTTTTCATGGGCCTCTTTGAGACCAACCCTGTTGGATCACAGCTTGCCACATCTTAAAGTCAGACTACATCATCTCTGAGCCAGTGCCAGATATGTCTGTCCACTAACCCCATCACATTGTCATTTTAGTGTTATGCAGTTTTAGAGAACCCTTATCCATGGTCCATCTCAATAGGATTCCCTAACTTGGACTCTTTCAGATTGTAAAGCTTGGAATATCAGTTCCCTCTATCCCAGGAGACACTAACACCTTTTGCCAGTTGCTCCACATCCTCCTCAGAGATTTTGTTTTCTGGTTTAAACTGCTTCCCACTTTTTGAAGAGCAACAACAAACAATATCCAGCCAAATGGAAGAACTACCATTTATCAAAAGAGGCAGAGAGCCCTGAGTTATGGCCCAGGATGGAGTTTACTAGATAGTTGAGGAAAATCTTGCTATTCTCCCTAAGTCTCACTTCCCAAGGCAGCGGTCTGGGTGGAGCAGAATATCGAGACAGAGTCAGAGCAACACATGGGGAGTACGGAAGAGGCATTTGGGGGAATCATGCCAACCCAAGGACAGCCTATCTAGGAAAAGCAATGTCTGAGAATGATCTGAGATCCATATGGCAGAGCAGAAGAAGAAAGGGCTCTCAAGGGGGTAGCAGGTGGGTGCTGGATTTGAGGGGGCATGCACAAGATATTCTAATACAACAAGAGGTCCATTTCTTCCTCAATGGAGATTGATCTCCACAGTGGCTGCTCTGTAGATGCACTGATTTGTAGTCCTCCATTTAAAATGTTTATTTTTAAAACAAAAGTTGGGGCCTCCCTGGTGGCACGGGGGT